GTGGAGATGTATTTTGGAGGTGTTGAAATGTTTGTTGGTGTTAAAATGTTTCTTGGAGCTGTTGAAATGTTTCTTGGAGCTGTTGAAATGTTTGTTGGTGTTTGAAGATGTTTGTTGGTGTGTGGAGATGTTTGTTGGTGTGTGGAGATGTTTGTTGGTGTGTGGAAATGTTTGTTGGTGTGTGGAGATGTTTGTTGGTGTGTGGAGATGTTTGTTGGTGTGTGGAAATGTTTGTTGGTGTGTGGAGATGTTTGTTGGTGTGTGGAAATGTTTGTTGGTGTGTGGAGATGTTTGTTGGTGTGTGGAGATGTTTGTTGGTGTGTGGAAATGTTTGTTGGTGTGTGGAGATGTTTGTTGGTGTGTGGAGATGTTTGTTGGTGTGTGGAGATGTTTGTTGGTGTGTGGAAATGTTTGTTGGTGTGTGGAGATGTTTGTTGGTGTGTGGAGATGTTTGTTGGTGTGTGGAAATGTTTGTTGGTGTGTGGAGATGTTTGTTGGTGTGTGGAGATGTTTGTTGGTGTGTGGAGATGTTTGTTGGTGTGTGGAAATGTTTGTTGGTGTGTGGAAATGTTTGTTGGTGTGCGGAGATGTTTGTTGGTGTGTGGAGATGTTTGTTGGTGTGTGGAGATGTTTGTTGGTGTGTGGAGATGTTTGTTGGTGTGTGGAGATGTATTTTGGAGGTGTTGAAATGTTTGTTGGTGTGAAAATGTTTCTTGGAGCTGTTGAAATGTTTCTTGGAGCTGTTGAAATGTTTGTTGGTGTGTGAAGATGTTTGTTGGTGTGTGGAGATGTTTGTTGGTGTGTGGAGATGTTTGTTGGTGTGTGGAAATGTTTGTTGGTGTGTGGAGATGTTTGTTGGTGTGTGGAGATGTTTGTTGGTGTGTGGAAATGTTTGTTGGTGTGTGGAGATGTTTGTTGGTGTGTGGAAATGTTTGTTGGTGTGTGGAGATGTTTGTTGGTGTGTGGAGATGTTTGTTGGTGTGTGGAAATGTTTGTTGGTGTGTGGAGATGTTTTTTGGTGTGTGGAGATGTTTGTTGGTGTGTGGAGATGTTTGTTGGTGTGTGGAAATGTTTGTTGGTGTGTGGAGATGTTTGTTGGTGTGTGGAGATGTTTGTTGGTGTGTGGAAATGTTTGTTGGTGTGTGGAGATGTTTGTTGGTGTGTGGAGATGTTTGTTGGTGTGTGGAGATGTTTGTTGGTGTGTGGAAATGTTTGTTGGTGTGTGGAAATGTTTGTTGGTGTGTGGAGATGTTTGTTGGTGTGTGGAGATGTTTGTTGGTGTGTGGAGATGTTTGTTGGTGTGTGGAGATGTTTGTTGGTGTGTGGAGATGTTTGTTGGTGTGTGGAGATGTTTGTTGGTGTGTGGAAATGTTTGTTGGTGTGTGGAGATGTTTGTTGGTGTGTGGAAATGTTTGTTGGTGTGTGGAGATGTTTGTTGGTGTGTGGAGATGTTTGTCGGTGTGTGGAGATGTTTGTTGGTGTGTGGAGATGTATTTTGGAGGTGTTGAAATGTTTGTTGGTGTGTGGAGATGTTTGTTGGTGTGTGGAGATGTTTGTTGGTGTGTGGAGATGTTTGTTGGTACATGTGGCTGTGCTAGGTTGGCTTTTAGCTCTGTCTGGTTTTTTTAATTAACTGTGGCAGGTTTTTTTTTCTTGGGCTGTTTTGTCATTAGCTGACTTGTTGTTATTTGTTGGAGGTTTATTAGAAGCCACTTCTTGTCATAAGCTGATTTGTTGTTATTTGTTGGAGGTTTATTAGAAGCCACTTCTTGTAATAACAATCCTAATACTAATTAATATGTCATCCAAAAAATATGATGATAATTATTAACCACAATCATTATATCACATACAATGACACTTATAATGACACCCCTAATCTTTAATGCTATTTCCAACAGCTCTATTTTCAACAGAGTACAGGATATTAGACATTCAGGCAGGAGGTATGGCATGGATGTGGCTAGTATAACCCTCAACTTTTGTATGCGTCAATCTCGCTTTTCTAGACCACTAGAATTGATGATTGCTGCTTACTTTTAGTAAAGAGCAGGTTTTGAAGATACATATTTCCGCTTGAGAACAGCCAAATGACTGCACCAAATGACTGCACCAAATGACTGCTCCAAATGACTGCACCAAATGACTGCACCAAATGACTGCACAAAATGACTGCACCAAATGACTGCACCAAATGACTGCACCAAATGACTGCACCACGCAAACCAGACATTTCCAGTAAGCCCACTCTGTTTTTACATACACACACACACACACGCACGCACGCCCGTACGCACGCAAGCACGCACGCACGCACACACACACACAGACAAATCCAACCGCCAAGCAAATTTGCCTTCCTTATGACCCCTCTCTTGTGCGTCATACAAGGATGTCGTGCATGGACGTGGCTGGAGTGTGGGTGTTAAGAACTTAGGGTTAACCCTAACCTTAACCCTTAGGGTTAACCTTAACCCTAACCCTGGGTGTTAAGAACTTAGGGTTAACCCTAACCCTAACTGGGATTATTTTGGGCTAGTAATATTTTTTTAGTGGTGGGGTTATCGAAGTGGTTTGTGTTGTACAGTGCAGCCGACAGACCGTTTTCCAATGGGAATTCGGGTCGTCTAGTACAGGCGTCTCCAAACTACATCTAGGACTCAATGTTTCAGTGTCCTACATCTAGGACTCAATGTTTCAGTGTCCTACATCTAGGACTCAATGTTTCAGTGTCCTACATCTAGGACTCAATGTTTCAGTGTCCTACATCTAGGACTCAATGTTTCAGTGTCCTACATCTACGGCGTCATTGGTGCAGCAAGCGGATTTGTCATCTTTTGTGTAGTTGTTGCCTTCTTCAACCTGTGTATGGCGCGGGTAAAAAAAAAACAACCTAAGTCGTAAGTCAACGGCTCAATAAAAGTCACCTAAGTCGTAAGTCAACGGCTCAATAAAAGTCACCTAAGTCGTAAGTCAACGGCTCAATAAAAGTCACATAAGTCGTAAGTCAACCAACTGCTCAATAAAAGTCACCTAAGTCGTAAGTCAACGGCTCAATAAAAGTCACCCGAGTCTTAAGTCAATGGCTCAATAAAAGTCACCTAAGTCGTACGTCAACCAACTGCTCAATAAAAGTCACCTAAGTCGTAAGTCAACCAACTGCTCAATAAAAGTCACCTAAGTCGTAAGTCAACGCCGGCCTAGCAAGACATGAAAACTTAATTGTCAGTGGCAGAAAGTTGCTTTTGAATGTCCCATATGTCCTGTTTATCATTTGATCTATACCTGTGATGTACTACATCTATTTATATCCTACTTCCAGTTATGTCCTACATCTATTCATGTCCTACATCAATTTACATCCTACATGTATTTATTTCCTACATCCAGTTATGTCCTACATCCAATTATGTTCTACACCCAGGTATGTCCTTCATCCAGTTATGTCCTACATTCAGTTATGTCCTACATTCAGTAATGTCCTACATCTGTTTATGTCCTACATTCAGTTATGTCCTACATCTATTTATGTCCTACATTCAGTTATGTCCTACATCTATTTATGTCCTACATTCAGTTATGTCCTTCATTCAGTAATGTCCTACATCTGTTTATGTCCTACATTCAGTTATGTCCTTCATTCAGTAATGTCCTACATCTATTTATGTCCTACATTCAGTTATGTCCTACATCTATTTATGTCCTACATTCAGTAATGTCCTACATCTATTTATGTCCTACGTCCAGTTATGTCCTGCATTCAGTAATGTCCTACATCTGTTTATGTCCTACATATATTTATGTCGTACATCCAGTTATGTCCTACATCCTATATAAAAGACTTAGGCCTGTTGTTGTTCTGAACGTTCAACTATATTATATAACAATAATTATTCACGAATTGAACTATTGTATATAACAATCATTATTCACGAATTGAACTATTGTATATAAAAACATTTTTCACGAATTGAACTATTTTATAAAATCATATTTTTTAACTAATAAAACTATTGTATATAACAATAATTTTTCACGAATTGAACTACTGTATCTAAAAACATTTTTCGCGAATTGAACTGGTGTAAATAAATAAATGAAAATGTCGCAAGACGTTTGAACAACAATTGTCTTGCGGTTTTTTATTTGAATCCTTTCTGCTGACTCGGTCGTTTAGCTGTTTGCCTTTCTCAACGGGGATGGGGGACATAGGATGACATGAAGGCGAAAAATGTGTAAATAGTGCTTCGTCTAAGTTTTAATTTACAAGACATATGTGGCGGGTGGTGTTTCTTTTTTTTCTCAAAGCCGAAACCGAAAAAAATATCTGTATCTAAACCTAAACCTAAATCTATATCTGTATCCGAACCAATCCCTTAATCTCAATCAGTATCTGAACCTAAACCTAGATCTCAATCTTTATCTAAACCTAAACCTAAATCTCAATCTTTATCTAAACCTAAATCTCAATCTTTATCTAAACCTAAACATAAACATAAATTTCAATCTGTATCTAAACATAAACCCGAATGAGTGGTTTTTTATCATTTGTGGTGAGGGGGGGGTGGGTAGAGAAGGATTGAGTGGCATTAGACACGGAAATTCACCTAGAAGCAGAAATTGAACCTGAACTTATAGGTTTAAAGTCAAAGTTTGATACCAACCTTTAGGTTTAAAGGCAGAGTGATACCAAGTTGTAGGTTTGACAGAGATATATTAATAAGAACGATTTCAGGAGTAGGTTCTGTCGAGTAGGTTCTGTCGAGTAGGTTTTGAAGAAAACGGGGTTGAAATCATGGCCAAGCTTGGCAAAAATCCTTTACTAGACAGACACTAGATAATAGCTTAACAGCACCCAATAGGTAGAACTTCACAACCGCAACGTCAAAGGCTGATCATTTCATTCAATGTACGAACATGATAGTTAAGTAGAGGACTGAAAACAGCATTCAATGTACGAACAAGGTATTTAAGTTAAGGGCTAAACATTTAATTCGATGTACAAACTTGGTCTTTAAGAAGTAAACAAATAAATAAATGCACCACCATATAGGTTAATAGCTGCACTACGAAGCATCAGCATACCGACTCGGCAAATGTCGTAGTCCTTTTGCTCTAATGTGCCTGAAAGACGAGAACCATTAATTAACTATTAATTAACTTAACATTGTAGGAGTCTCCTCTTATTTTAGCTGTATTTCCCTGCATTCAAAGTAACTGTAACTGTCTATATATATATATATATATATATATATATATATATATATATATATATATATATATATATATATATATATATATATATATATATATATATATATACACATATATATACATATATATATATATATATACATATATATACATATATATATATATATATATATATATATATATATATATATATATATATATATATATATATATATATATATATAACAATTCTCTAATGTCATTTTTTGTACCATTTTCTAGATAAAAAAGTCAAATGAAAAATTGAGTTTTTTTGTATTTGAAGTCAAATATTTAAAATTGTCCATAAGTAAAGTGGGCGAGCAAATTAAGTACACAATTCTGAGATGTTGGCATAACCAGAGGAGTTTCTTCCAAGCACCTTTTTTTACCCCCCCCCCCCCCCCCCCTTCCCGAAAAAATTCTCCCGCCTTTCACGAATGAAATAGAATTGATATAGAAAATAGATACTTTACCAGTGTCCACCCCTCCGGAAAATTTAGTCTGTCCCCCAGGAGAAACAAATCTGAAAGAAACACTGGGCATGACATGTCCAAAAGTATTAAAAAGGTTTAAAATAGCAAGATTATAAATATATATGCGCACTCGACATATATGAAAAAGATTTGATTAAAATATATAATAATTTAAAAATATTTAAATAATTTTAAGGGTAGACGACCCGAGCTTTCTTTTATAGCAGTTTTAATAGTGATACATTATTATAAATTTATAGAAAATCTTTCTTTTTTATTTTGAGTTTATACTTTACGAGACACATAATTAATTAAAAATCTAACTAAATGCATTTGATGTCACAATCTCTGCAGTCGGGCATTGACATTACGTGTCAAGTTTGAATAAGATTGGTTTGCTAGAAGAGGTTTCGCTCACAAGTTCCTAATCATGACAACAAAGGATTGAATCAAGAATCAATGTAAATACAAGGTTGAAGAATTGTTGATAGCTTTTTCTCGCGACTATTTGCTGGTATTACAATCTACCATTTTCTCTGTTGGAACAAAACTATTTTTCTTGTGATTACTTCTCATATTCAGTACATACATGTTGCATTTTATATCTGTTTGCTAGCATCACAGTCCTCGCCCCATACCTAGATCTAGTCTTAAACTTGCATTATATGTTTCTAAAACAGACTTAATCAAAATGTTCCTACCGTTTTCTCTGCCTAGTCTTAGACAAGGAGCAAACTTTATCGGCTTTAATGTATTGTGTTGAAAATGTCAGCATTTTTAGAATTCCATTTTTTTTTTTAGATCAAACCATATTGTTTTCCAGATCAAACCATATCGTTTTCCATTTCAAACTATTATGTTTTCCCGACAAAACCATTATGTTTTCCAGATCAAATCATATCGTTCTCTATTTCAAACCATTATGCTTTCCAGACCAGACCATATTGTTTTCCAGACCAAACCGTGTTTGTAAACAGGAGTCCTACAAGCAGGAGTTGCGCACTTTCTTGTGCATCATGAACGCACCAAAGTGTATCGTCCTAATATGACGACACGCGCCAATAGCAACCAAGGACGATACAGATTCAATACAGCGAGACACTAAATTTTGAGAAACAACACATAATATTAAGGTAAAACCGTTTTAATCTAGTTTTAGAAGAAATAAACTGTTCTGTTTTTATTTTTTTTTGCAAAATGTTCGTTTCTAAATATGCATATTGACTTAAAGATCTAGGTAAGGCTTTTATTTAAGTTTTGGTGTTCTTTTATTCGTCCTTGATTAGGTTTCAGGTTTAACGAACAATAACATTAGAGCTAAGATTAGTCTAAACTCTAGTGTCTAGATCTAGACCCAGTCTAGGCAATTGTATTTACAGTGTAACAGAACAGAAAAGGAAATATGTTCTTATGGTTGTGTGTGAAGGTATGATTCAACTCACGTGACTTAATCATTATTTTCAAAACTTTGAAGGATTTCATTAAGGTAGGCTACTTTTTAATGTATGTATTTTTACAATAGATCTAAAATGTATACTGTTTTAGCCTTTTAGATAGATCTATGTGTGATAGAGGCTAAACTTTAGGGCACTTTAGGTCAAGGTAATATATTCGCAAAATATGGGCCTATTTGCTTAATATGCCAGCTGGACCAAGATCTAGGCCAAACTAATTTTAGCTACCAACTTAGCGGTTTTCTACAGACTATAAGAGAATCGAATGAGTTGACTTGGGACTTAGGTCCAGCTACAATATTCCCTGCAACAAGTTACTTGAGTTTACTAAATTAGCCCCACGCCAGGCTTGATACAAATCCTAGTCTTTAACAAATATCATTTAACTTGTTGTGTCTGCTTGATATAACCACTTATTATCTATATTTTAACTGGTTTTGTCTGTTAGATATAACATCTTAATATATATGGTTTAATTGGTTCTGTCTGTTAATATAATCACGTAATATCTATACTTCAATTGTTTCTGTCTGTTTGCTATTACCACATAATGTTTAATTTTTTGAACTCCGTGCTCATTTGCTTGACATAGCCAAAATTCCAAAGCAACTCTTGAGGTTGTATAAGCCTCCAAGTACAGCGAAGTTCCATACAGACTAAATGATAATTAGCATCGTCCGTCAGATAAGCCCAACGTAGTTTTCTCGTCTAAATTTCGCTAATGTTTTGTTTTGTTTCTAGAATGAAGCTCACACTGATTCGCGATTGAAAGATGCAGAAGTTCAAATTTTTTGTTAACAAATTACCGCAAACGGCAATGAGGGTCCGCGGCCACTTCTACCTCCTGGCTGTTTTGCTCTATGTTTGCATTCATCAAGGTATAGATTGAAATAAATAGCTTAGTTTTGTTGATGTACATAATTTTACTCGGCAGGCAAAAGTAAATATTTAAAGATGAATAAGTTAGACCTCAGATCCTGCTAGAATAGTTCAACCGAGCCCTAACCTTGACAGATGCTGCAAGAATAGTTCGAAAGAACCCTAACCTTGAACTTATTCTTCCAAACACTGAATAGTGTATGTAACGCGAAAACTGAGTAAACAAAGCAAGATGCTTTTGAAACATTTAAACTCATTGATTGGTTGCTGTGTGTAGATATTGTTTGAAACATTTGAACTTATTGATTGGTTGCTGTGTGTAGATATTGTTTGAAACATTTGAACTTATTGATTGTTTGCTGTGTGTAGATATTGTTTGAAACATTTGAACTTATTGATTGGTTGCTGTGTGTAGATATTGTTTGAGACATTTGAACGTATTGATTGGTTTCTGTGTGTAGATATTGTTTGAAACATTTAAACTCATTGATTGGTTGCTGTGTGTAGATATTGTTCAAATTTTAAAATCCTCAACTATTTATTGATTCCATCCCAGCAATCACAGTATTTGTTACAATTATCATTTTACATATTTCTGTAATCGTCATCCTAGCTTAGGGTTAGGGTTAGAGTTAGGGTTAGACATTTTAAACTTCAACACCTGTCGCATGCATTTATTTCAATAACAAAATATTGCACATATATTAAGTCTAACGGCTCAAAACAAATAACAAGCTGCATGACGTATTTGATGCGAAGACTTTTTCATCTAGTTTGAAAGAACGAACACTTTTTTTCTTGAAATAATATTAATAATATGGATTGTCGATTACCTTTTACCTTTCCCGTGAGATTACCTTTAACCCAAATCTCCAACCCTAACTTTGCAATTTAAAGCTAATCTTCTCAGTTAAACTTACCCAAACACTACGTGAATTAAATCCTACATTAACCCGAACAGTAGTGTCAGGGTTACAGATTTAGTCTCAATCCTTCACTCAGCCAATCATTCGTTCATTGTATCCTATCTAAAACGTCACATTGTATCCTCTATAAACCTTCACATTATATCCTCGCTAAACTTTCACATTGTATCCCCTCTAACCTTCACATTGTATCCTCGCTAAACCTTCACATTGTATCCTCGCTAAACCTTCACATTGTATTCTCGCTAAACCTTCACATTGTATTCTCGCTAAACCTTCACATTGTATCCTCGCTAAACCTTCACATTGTATCCTCGCTAAACGTTCACATTGTATCCTCGCTAAACCTTCACATTGTATCCTCTCTAAAACTTCACATTGTATCCTCGCTAAACCTTCACATTGTCTCCGCCCTAAATCTTCAAAAATACACATATCGTATCTACGCTGTTTTAATCTTTATTTTTCCATCACAGGCTCGACACTTTGTCCCCCCAGTCCGCTTGAACCAGGCTTCCCTTGTTATTTTATTCCGCTGACCCCCGAAAACTGGGAAGACGCCAAAGTAAGGAAAGTGTTAGCATTGAAGTTAATAGCTTTATTTTAAGCTGCTTGTACTTGGCGTTGCGCTAGACATGCCATGCGTAAAGTTTGCCTGATGATATTTTGTGTACATCAGCTCCGTTTATCCTTATTTTTCTAGTGAGCAATTTTTTGACGATAGTTACGGACCTCATTACAAGTGAAAGTTGCATTCCTAGTGTTCGTGGAAGGGGGGGGGGGGGGGGGTTATGTGCAGGGGGGTTTACTTTATTAAATTTTTTTTTAAATGATGAATACTGGGAAGAACACTCGAGAAAGGAGTGAATTGTTTGAGAGGAACCTCTCCACAACAAAAGGCTGGGATGAGGAGATTCTTGATGGTCTGTTAGAAGTGTTAAAAGTATAGTGACGTCAGGGACGTAAAAAAGGGGTGAGCTGGGCGATATCCAAGAGGCCCGAGACATTTTCAAAAGCGGCCCCAACTTCAAATTTTCATTGTGTTTTTTTTCTCCTCCATCAAATTGATTGAATTTTACCCTTTGGTATCAAGGAATAGAACTGGTACAATGAGGCAACGCCATAACATTTCATATAAACTATCAAACCACTAATAGGACTCTAATAGCACCGTTCCTGTGGCCCACCGAGATTTTGTCATGTGGCCCACCTAGATTTTGTCCTGTGGCCCACCGAGATTTTGTCCTGTGGCCCACCGAGAATTTGTCCTGTGGACCTACAGAAGTATTTCCATGTAGACCGGCTGGCCAGTGCACCCCTAAATGTAACCACTAATTTTTTCCAGAGATATTGTTTGGACTCAAAAGCCACACTAGCCATTTTGCGCACGAAGAAGAACATTATGCTCGGCGTCAAGGCAAGCTACAAAGACTATCAGGAAGGTAGTTTATTCAAAGACACATCTTGACCAGTGTAGGCCAGTTAATTTTAAAGAGATTTATATTTGAAACTTATTAAACATAAGTAATTAATTTAGTCATCGCATGGCCTGTTTGATTGGCAGGACTATTAGTCTATCCGGTTTGAATTAATATGGCCTCTCTGATTGACTTAAAGATGGCCTCTCTGATTGACTTGAAGATGGCCTCTCTTCCTGTAACATGGCAGGTTTGATTACATGTAAGATGGCTTGTTTGATTACATGTAAGATGCACTGTTTGATTACATGTAAGATGGCCTGTTTGATTTCATGTAAGATGGCCTGTTTGATTACATGTAAGATGGCCTGTTTGATTACATGTAGAATTGCCTATTTGATTACACGTAAGATGGCCTATTTGATTACATGTAAGATGGCCTGTATGATTTACATGTACGATGGCCTGTGTGATTACATGTAAGATGACCTGTTTGATTACATGTAAGATGGCCTGTATGATTACATGTTAGATGGCCTCTTTGATTACATGTAAGATGGTCTGTTTGATTACATGTAAGATGACCTGTTTGATTGCTTGTAAGATGGCCTGTTTGATTACATGTAAAATTGCCTATTTGATTACATGTAAGATGGCCTGTTAGATTGCATGTAAGATGGCCTGTATGATTTACATGTAAGATGACCTGTTTGATTACATGTAAAATTGCCTGTTTGATTACATGTAAGATGGCCTGTTTGATTGCATGTAAGATGGCATGTATGATTACATGTAAGATGGCCTGTTTGTTTACATGTAAGATGGCCTGTTTGATTTGATTGCCTATTGTTTGCTTGATTGCCTGTTTAATTGCTGTAAGATGGCTTAAATTTGATTGCATCTAAATCATCCCCTCCCACCCGCCAACTCAGCCCAATGGACCTATACACCCCCACCCCACCCCAATGGACCTATACACCCCCACCCCACCCCAATGGACCTATACACCCCCACCCCACCCCAATGGACCTATACACCCCCACCCCACCCCAATGGACCTATACACCCCCACCCCACCCCAATGGACCTATACACCCCCACCCCACCCCAATGGACCTATACACCCCCACCCCACCCCAATGGACCTATACACCCCCACCCCACCCCAATGGACCTATACACCCCCACCCCACCCCAATGGACCTATACACCCCCACCCCACCCCAATGGACCTATACACCCCCACCCCACCCCAATGGACCTATACACCCCCACCCCACCCCAATGGACCTATACACCCCCACCCCACCCCAATGGACCTATACACCCCCACCCCACCCCAATGGACCTATACACCCCCACCCCACCCCAATGGACCTATACACCCCCACCCCACCCCAATGGACCTATACACCCCCACCCCACCCCAATGGACCTATACACCAATATATTTTGTCACCAGTTTGGATAGGAGGCCGTTCTAAAGGTGGAAAGTGGGAGTGGGAAATTGAAGACATGGCAAAAGCTGCGGTGGCTGATGGTTTGGTATCAACATCTGGATTACCTATCACTGCTGCACCTTCTAGTGGCAACAACACCAACCCTCCGGTTGGGATCGCGGATGGTTTATGTCTGGTACTCAACGCCGATTCAGAAATTGCAAGCGCAACCTGCACAGACAAAAAGCATTTCTTGTGCGAATATCCTAGTGAGTAGTTGACAGCCATTTCAATCATTATTGTATCGGCATACATATCCTATTGATTCTGTTGTAAGTATGCATAGTCATTAATGAAACATTGACCAAAGTTATAGAAAGTACACCTATCAATGAACGTCTTATATTTTTCATGAGCGCCCAAGATTTTATTTTTAGTCCTAAAAGTATAAAACTTTAATAAGGTAAAACCGAACCTACATTAACAAAGCAGACTAACTCACATTAACAAAGCACTAAATTTCTCACGTATTTTCATTTAGACATTTATAGAAATATATGTTTGCTTTATGTAATACCATTTAAGCGAATGAATTACCTTACTCTTATAATGTAACTTTAAAATTCTACTTAATGTGGAACTAAGTCCATTATAATTAATATTAATAATATATAGACTAAAATTGTTTCGATATGAGACGTTGAGTATGTGAAAATAGTTTATTTTGCTTTAATTATGTATGTATGTGTGTGTGGGGGGTATCTCTATTGGTAATTGGTGGGTGCTTGCGGTACATTTGGTGTGGGTGTGAGTAGATTAGGGTTCAGTGTGGGTGTGAGTAGATTAGGGTTGAGTGTGGGTGTGAGTAGATTAGGGTTGAGTGTGGGTGTGAGTAGATTAGGGTTGAGTGTGGGTGTGAGTAGATTAGGGTTCAGTGTGGGTGTGAGTAGATTAGGGTTGAGTGTGGGTGTGAGTAGATTAGGGTTGAGTGTGGGTGTGAGTAGATTAGGGTTGAGTGTGGGTGTGAGTAGATTAGGGTTCAGTGTGGGTGTGAGTAGATTAGGGTTGAGTGTGGGTGTGAGTAGATTGAGGTTCAGTGTGGGTGTGAGTAGATTGGGGTTCAGTGTGGGTGTGAGTAGATTGGGGTTCAGTGTGGGTGTGAGTAGATTAGGGTTCAGTGTTGGTGTGAGTAGACACTTCATAAATTGTGTCTCGATGTTTCCCAATCTAAGGAAAATATGCTTAGCCTGAATGTAAACCAAAAATGCACAGAAAACTGTTCATCTACCGAGAACGTTTCAAATCCAACTCATATTAAACTTTGATTTATTTTATTTAGTATAATTGTATGTCTCCAAACCCTACAGTCATCTATTATCATACACTAGCCGTACTTTCTGCCTATTCAATTTCTGTGAACACAACGACTCACCCTAAATTAGATTCTAATTAATTTCCGATCTTTGTACAACAATCCTGCTCACGATATGCCAATCCAGGCAAGCTCTGAGCCGTTGACCTTCACATCTAACCGGTCATTTTGTTTTAAACTGGTCGGGATATTGAATTGGTTCTTACCCCATTAGTTGTGTATGGCCAATTGATATTTCTTAACTTAAAGATTGTCTTCCTTTTTATTGACCTTTTTTATTTATATATAAGTCATCACATAAAGAACCCACACGTACACAACAACAACCACACGTACACAACAACAACCACACGTACACACAACAACCACACGTACACACGTACACAACAACCACACGTACACACAACAACCACACGTACACACGTACACAACAACCACACGTACACACAACAAACACACGTACACACCCAACAAACACACGTACACACGTACACACAACAACCACACGTACACAACAACCACACGTACACAACAACCACACGTACACAACAACAACCACACGTACACACCCAACAACCACACGTACACACCCAACAAACACACGTACACACATACACACAACAACCACACGTACACAACAACAACCACACGTTCACACCCAACAACCACACGTACACACCCAACAAACACACGTACACACATACACACAACAACCACACGTACACAACAACAACCACACGTACACACCCAACAAACACGCGTACACACATACACACAACAACCACACGTACACAACAACCACACGTACACACACAACAACCACAATAACACACACAACAACCACATGTACATACACAACAACCACACATACACATACAGCCACACATAGAGTCACTATTGCTCAAGTAACAGTGACGTTCTACCTGTTGGGTTTAGTTTGCAGCCCAGGGTGCAAAGAGCCAAAACAAAATGCGACAAATGCTGGCGGAAGTAAAACTAAACGGGCAGACCCACCTGATGCAAACGCAACAAAACCCAATGCTCCTACTGGGGGTGGAGAATTGGTGGAGACGCCTACGTGTGATATAATAGGACAAACCATGAAGTGCATTGATGGATGCCAAGAAGGGTACATGGGCGACGAATGTTTTTGTAAGTACGAGCTAGGACTTATACAATGGCAGGAAGATGAGAAGTATGTTTGTATGTACTAGATAATATTTTAACCCTTAACCTAGGTTTCTATGTACGAGCTAATGTTCTAACCCTTACACTAGGTTTGTATGTACGAGCTAATATTCTAACCCTTACCCAGTCAACTTGCAAGCACCAGTTTTCGGTAGTGTAGGTATTAGCATTGTGGAATTTAATTCGGATTCCTGCAGTTGTATCCGAAATTTTGTTAGCATTGTCTATGTCAGGTGTATTCGGAAATACCTTTATTCTTAGATTTGTTTAAGTTGATCAAGCGAAAGGTTGAGAGAGTTAAAATTAAAAATTGATTAACTGAGACCACCCAAATCAAAACGCGAATACTTGACAAGCTCAAACTGAAATCGCGAATAATTAAGAGGCCCAAAAGCCTATATTTAAGAGGTCAAATGAAAACGCAAATAATTGGGGTATTACTGTCATTTTGGAAGAATGTGTTACCAGTAGCTACCCTAATGTATTGTTAAAGTAAATATTTTTTATCTATAGTACCTTTAAGCTTTAGCAATGTTTAGATGGAGTGCTCTGTAGCTTTAGTACTTTGAGGCCATAGTACTTTCCAGGCTCATCAGCACAGTATTAGAACCTAGCTCAACTTGGGAGGGATCTTACCCTAAAGCTAGAACCAAGGGAAAATGTAACTCAACTTCGGGAGGGATTTTACCCTAAAGCTAGAACCAAGGGGAAAATGTAACTCACCTTGGGAGGGATCTTACCCTAAAGCAAGAACCAAGGGAAAATGTAACTCAACTTGGGAGGGATCTTACCCTAAAGCTAGAACCAAGGGAAAATGTAACTCACCTTGGGAGGGATCTTACCCTAAAGCATAAACCAAGGGAAAATGTAACTCACCTTGGGAGGGATCCTACCCTAAAGCAAGAACCAAGGGAAAATGTAACTCACCTTGGGAGGGATCTTACCCTAAAGCTAGAACCAAGGGAAAATGTAACTCACCTTGGGAGGGATCTTACCCTAAAGCAAGAACCAAGGAAAAATGTAACTCAACTTGGGAGGGATCTTACCTTAAAGCTAGAACCAAGGGAAAATGTAGCTCACCTTGGGAGGGATCTTACCCTAAATCAAGAACCAAGGGAAAATGTAACTCAACTTGGGAGGGATCTTACCCTAAAGCTAGAACCAAGGGAAAATGTAACTCAACTTCGGGAGGGATTTTACCCTAAAGCTAGAACCAAGGGGAAAATGTAACTCACCTTGGGAGGGATCTTACCCTAAAGCAAGAACCAAGGGAAAATGTAACTCAACTTGGGAGGGATCTTACCCTAAAGCTAGAACCAAGGGAAAATGTAACTCACCTTGGGAGGGATCTTACCCTAAAGCATAAACCAAGGGAAAATGTAACTCACCTTGGGAGGGATCCTACCCTAAAGCAAGAACCAAGGGAAAATGTAACTCACCTTGGGAGGGATCTTACCCTAAAGCTAGAACCAAGGGAAAATGTAACTCACCTTGGGAGGGATCTTACCCTAAAGCAAGAACCAAGGGAAAATGTAACTCACCTTGGGAGGGATCTTACCCTAAAGCTAGAACCAAGGGAAAATGTAACTCACCTTGGGAGGGATCTTACCCTAAAGCTAGAACCAAGGAAAAATGTAACTCAACTTGGGAGGGATCTTACCCTAAAGCAAGAACCAAGGGAAAATGTAACTCAACTTGGGAGGGATCTTACCCTAAAGCTAGAACCAAGGGAAAATGTAGCTCACCTTGGGAGGGATCTTACCCTAAATCAAGAACCAAGGGAAAATGTTACTCACCTTGGGAGGGATCTTACCCTAAAGCTAGAACGAAGGGAAAATGTAACTCACCTTGGGAGGGATCTTACCCTAAAGCTAGAACCAAGGGAAAATGTAACTCACCTTGGGAGGGATCTTACCCTAAAGCAAGAACCAAGGGAAAATGTAACTCACCTTGGGAGGGATCTTACCCTAAAGCAAGAACCAAGGGAAAATGTAACTCACCTTGGGAGGGATCTTACCCTAAAGCAAGAACCAAGGGAAAATGTAACTCACCTTGGGAGGGATCTTACCCTAAAGCAAGAACCAAGGGAAAATGTAACTCACCTTGGGAGGGATCTTACCCTAAAGCTAGAACCAAGGGAAAATGTAACTCAACTTGGGAGGGATCTTACCCTAAAGCAAGAACCAAGGGAAAATGTAACTCACCTTGGGAGGGATCTTACCCTAAAGCAAGAACCAAGGGAAAATGTAACTCAACTTGGGAGGGATCTTACCCTAAAGCTAGAACCAAGGGAAAATGTAACTCAACTTATAAAATCAAGTTTATCAAGCCGTGTATGATCTAGCTTTATTGACAAACGCTTTACCATTTCAGTAATATCCAGACCAAAGTGTTCACCCAATTGCAAGAACTGTTCAGACGGCCTAACCTGTGACGGTGGTTGTAGAAAGGGATATACTGGAGTCGATTGCGAATTAGGTAAATTTTGGATTGATACTTCCGACTTTCACCCTCTGGGTGTGCGCTGGATTTTAAGTACACAAATTATACATTTGTGCCTAATATGATTTTTGGATACCTAGGTGTTCAATCAAAAATACAACTAAGAAGAATTTAGTTAATTAACTAATTCTTAAAATCGGTAATGCAAACTTACATGGTATTACTAGAAAGTGAGTTTTAGGTGTATGTTTGCATTTTTAAAAGACGTTTTTGTAAACAGTAATAACAATTTAAAAGACAATTTTGTAATATTAGTAAGAGTTTATCAACATTCTCAATGCTGACCTATAGTGACCAATATTATATTTTTAGGGGGTGTGACGTTCTTTCAGGGGTGGGCGCTTGTAGTTTGTCGCAATAGGTAGCAGAGGCCAAATTCAAAGCATGATGTTATTTATGAATGCGAGCTTAAGATGATTATAATTGAGAGACGTTCTGGACGTTCGACATTGAGTCAAATAATGCTACATAATCTTTATAAGTCAAGTGCGCACTAGGTGCTACATAATCTTTATGTTTATAAGTCAAGTGCACACTAGGTGCTACATAATCTTTATGTTTATAAGTCAAGTGCACACTAAGTGCTACATAATCTTTATGTTTATAAGTCAAGTGCACACTAGGTGCTACATAATCTTTGTTTATAAGTCAAGTGCACACTAGGTGCTACATAATCTTTATGTTTATAAGTCAAGTGCACACTATGTGCTACATAATCTGTATGTTTATAAGTCAAGTGCACACTAGGTGCTACATAATCTTTATGTTTATAAGTCAAGTGCACACTAGGTGCTACATAATCTTTATGTTTATAAGTCAAGTGCACACTAGGTGCTACATAATCTTTATGTTTATAAGTCAAGTGCACACTAGGTGCTACATAATCTTTATGTTTATAAGTCAAGTGCACACTAGGTGCTACATAATCTTTATGTTTATAAGTCAAGTGCACACTAGGTGCTACATAATCTTTATGTTTGTAAGTCAAGTGCACACTAGGTGCTACATAATCTTTATGTTTATAAGTCAAGTGCACACTAGGTGCTACATAATCTGTATGTTTATAAGTCAAGTGCACACTAAGTGCTACATAATCTTTATGTTTTTAAGTCAAGTGCACACTAGGTGCTACATAATCTGTATGTTTATAAGTCAAGTGCACACTAGGTGCTACATAATCTTTGTTTATAAGTCAAGTGCACACTAGGTGCTACATAATCTTTATGTTTATAAGTCAAGTGCACACTATGTGCTACATAATCTTTATGTTTATAAGTCAAGTGCACACTAGGTGCTACATAATCTTTATGTTTATAAGTCAAGTGCACACTAGGTGCTACATAATCTTTATGTTTATAAGTCAAGTGCACACTAGGTGCTACATAATCTTTATGTTTATAAGTCAAGTGCACACTAGGTGCTACATAATCTTTATGTTTATAAGTCAAGTGCACACTAGGTGCTACATAATCTTTATGTTTATAAGTCAAGTGCACACTAGGTGCTACATAATCTTTATGTTTATAAGTCAAGTGCACACTAGGTGCTACATAATCTGTATGTTTATAAGTCAAGTGCACACTAAGTGCTACATAATCTTTATGTTTTTAAGTCAAGTGCACACTAGGTGCTACATAATCTGTATGTTTATAAGTCAAGTGCACACTAAGTGCTACATAATCTTTATGTTTATAAGTCAAGTGCACACTAGGTGCTACATAATCTTTGTTTATAAGTCAAGTGCACACTAGGTGCTACATAATCTTTATGTTTATAAGTCAAGTGCACACTAGGTGCTACATAATCTTTATGTTTATAAGTCAAGTGCACACTAGGTGCTACATAATCTTTATGTTTATAAGTAAAGTGCTCATTAAGGCAATTTTATTTTTAAAACCGCCACTAAATGGGGGCCCCAAGTTAAGGCTTGTTTAGCTTATACGTGGCACTGGATGTACTGAGTGACTTGATCCACAGTCAATTGTTTAACTTATACGTGGCACTGGATGTGGAACTTTTAAGATGAGAAGACAAGATCAGGGAATGGATGGGTTTAACATTTTGTGAGACCTTCAAATTTGGGTCGATAAATAACTGTTGACCTGCTGTAATTTATATCTTAGAACCAAGATTGTGCACATAATATATAAAACAAACAACGAATGGTAGTTTTATAATGTTATATCATGTACATGGGGTTCATAAAGTGTTCAGAATACCAATTTTATTATGGGTAAAGAGTTTTATATCACCCCACCTCTCACACACTGGTCTACTCTGAACAAACCCCCCCCCCTCCCCACACACACACACATCGACCACAAGGGCTTTATGTAAATATGGATGTTTGAGAAAATGTAAACGTAAATCTAATCGCAAACTTTAATGGAAATTTAAACATAAACCCAAACGCAAACACAACATTTTCATGCACGCAAACATGATTGCAAATATAAAAGCAAACAATAATGCTAACGCAAACAATAACGAAAAACTAATAAGGACATTTAGAAACGGCAAATAAACTATCTATCTATATATATAATTCTCTTCTTGGATACCCTAGAAAACACCAAGCTGTAAGCGCGCCTAGCAGCCCCCTCTCTTCCTCTCTAGGCATATCCCTACCACTCCCACCCTACATGGTCTGGTGGGCTGTGGTTCACGCTAAATGTTTACAATCGTAGAGCCGGGTTTAGTAACGGCTATTAGGGGAATACAATTTAATTTGAAACGGAAGGGGGAGGGGAGGGGGAGGGAGGGGGGGTAGTATCGTCCTTAACGACCTACTGATAGTGTTTTAAAGCAACTATCTTCAGTGGCAGCACTGGTACTGTCGAATTCACAAATTATGAATTACTGAAAAGTAGAAAATGAAACAACTAAATAGCGGCATATTATACGCCGCGGGTAGGCTCGTATGGATTAAAACAATTAGTAAACACTACATTTTAAATATAAAATAAATATAGTTAGTATTAAAAATACCTTTGTTTTACTTACTGCTAGCACTTGAATCATGCATGAACATTTTATAATTCGTTCCAGCATGAAAACTTATTTATTTCCATTTTTAGCGTGTAGGTGTTCTAACCCAAGAAACCAGTCCGACACTTGTCCAGTGATGAACATATGCGCTGCAGGTTGTTATGCCGGCTTTTACGGAGTTGCCTGTGAGAAAGGTAGGCTTTCTATTTCCTCCTTATTTAAAGGTAGGCATTCTATTCACTCCTTATTTAAAGGTAGGCATTCTATTCGCTCCTTATTTATTCTATTCACTCCTTATTTAAAGTTAGGCATTCTATTCGTGCCTTATTTTAAGTTAGGCATTCTATTCGTGCCTTATTTAAATGTAGGCATTCTATTCACTCCTTATTTAAAGGTAGGCATTCTATTCGCTCCTTATTTAAAGTTAGGCATTCTATTCGTGCCTTATTTAAATGTAGGCATTCTATTCACTCCTTATTTAGAGGTAGGCTTTCTATTTCCTCCTTATTTAAAGGTAGGCATTCTATTCACTCCTTATTTAAAGGCAGGCATTCTATTCGCTCCTTATTTAAAGTTAGGCATTCTATTCGTGCCTTATTTAAATGTAGGCATTCTATTCGCTCCTTATTTAAAGTTAGGCATTCTATTCGTGCCTTATTTAAATGTAGGCATTCTATTCACTCCTTATTTAGAGTAAGGCATTCTATTCGCTCCTTATTTAAAGGTAGGCATTCTGTTTGCTTTGTTTAAAGGTAGGCATTCTATTCACTCCTTATTTAGAGGTAGGCTTTCTATTTCCTCCTTATTTAAAGGTAGGCATTCTATTCACTCCTTATTTAAAGTTAGGCATTCTATTTGCTCCTTATTTAAAGTTAGGCATTCTATTCGCTCCTTATTTAAAGTTAGGCATTCTATTCGTGCCTTATTTAAATGTAGGCATTCTATTCATTCCTTATTTAGAGGTAGGCATTCTATTCGCTCCTTATTTAAAGGTAGGCATTTTGTTTGCTTTGTTTAAAGTTAGGCATTCTATTTCCTCCATATTTAAAGGTAGGCATTCTATTCACTCCTTATTTAAAGGTAGGCATTCTATTCGCTCCTTATTTAAAGTTAGGCATTCTATTCGTGCCTTATTTAAATGTAGGCATTCTATTCATTCCTTATTTAGAGGTAGGCATTCTATTCGCTCCTTATTTAAAGGTAGGCATTCTATTTGCTTTGTTTAAAGGTAGGCATTCTATTCACTCCTTATTTAGAGGTAGGCTTTCTATTTCCTCCTTATTTAAAGGTAGGCATTCTATTCACTCCTTATTTAAAGTTAGGCATTCTATTCGCTCCTTATTTAAAGGTAGGCATTCTATTTCCTCCTTATTTAAAGTTAGGCATTCTATTCGTGCCTTATTTAAATGTAGGCATTCTATTCGCTCCTTATTTAAAAAAAGGCATTCTATTTGCTTTGTTTAAAGGTAGGCATTCTATTCACTCCTTATTTAAAGGTAGGCATTCTATTCGTGCCTTATTTAAATGTAGGCTTTGTTATTCGCTCATTATTTAAAGGTAAGGATTCATTCCATTCTCTCCTTATTTAAAGGTAGGCATTCTATTAGCTCCTTTATTTAAGGTAGGCATTTTATTCGCTCCTTATTTAAAGGTAGGCATTCTATTCGTGCCTTATTTAAATGTAGGCTTGTTATTCGCTCATTATTTAAAGGCAAGGATTCATTCCATTCTCTCCTTATTTAAAGGTAGGCATTCTATTAGCTCCTTTATTTAAGGTAGTCATTTTATTCGCTCCTTATTTAAAGGTAGGGATTCATCCCATTCGCTCCTTAACGGTGGGTATTCACTTCATTTCTTATTTAAAGGTAAACATTATATTAGCTCTTCATTTAACTAGGGAAAGTTTACAGAGTTTTTTCTTCATATACTAACCACGATATTGTCTAAGCTAAGTTTTCGGACTTATAAAAAAAAATAATCTTTTAGAACTTCAAAGTGTAAGATATTTTTTGTCTAAGGTCTCTCTCTCTCTCTCTCTCTCTATATATATATATATATATATCTATAATATAAGCGGGCAAGTAGTGTGTCAGTCCTTCCTTCCGTCATCGCTATAGATTTTGGAACCATAAAAGCAAACATCGCACCAGGTAGTGCTTTGCAGTGCATCGCATTGTCTTATTATAAGTATTAGAGTAGGGTTTGTTTATATAACGACATAGAGCTATTTTATAATTTCCACTGTTTGTACAATTTTGCATAATGTCAAGAGAATATTAAATACACGCACATTGCTAAAACATATTAAAAGGATCAATGTCAAATATCGTTTTCGTTAATATTCCTAGAAAAAGTGAATACATTTTAATAAAATAATAACTATAGGTTAGAAAATTCTAATTAAACTGTTTAGTAATTTTGCCAAGGGGGTATTTTAAAAATAAATTGAACTCACGCTAAAAATGCAGATTCTGCAAGACGGAATAATTGTTGGAATAATATAATTAGCAAAATGTGAATGAAAATTATGCAGACGTGTAAGAGTACATTAATGTTGGAATATTATAATTAGCATTGATTGATAAAAGGCTATCTTTTATTTATTTTATTCACTGAATGTAATGTTTATAATTTTTAATCAACTATTAAGCACTATTATAGACGCGTCATCACGTTCATTGGGTGCGCAATGGTTTTAGTTATAAAACTCTATTGTAATTTTTTAAAATTTAAAGTACTGGGGAAAAAAATGCGTGAATTAATAAAGTGATATAATATGGTAGGTAAAACACGGATATTTTAAATACTGCTGGGGGTTTTATAGGAGAGGCGTAGAGAGGGGGGGGACATATGTCCCCGGTTGCCGACCTAAGGGGGCGCCAAAGTGGGTTGGAAAAAAATTGCGGGGGATGGGGTTGGTGGAAATCAAAAGTTTGAGGGCGGTGGGAGGGTGCAAATCGAAAGTTTGAGGGGGGTGCAAATCAACAGTTTGAGCGGGGGGAATTTCAAATCGAAAGTTTAAGGGGGTAGGGTGGAAATTGAAATTTTGAGGAGAGGGGGTTTCATAGTCATTCACTGTGTCAGACGCGTCCGGCGGTGCTCGGAAAGGGCGCGATTTGGCGCTACGGGCTAGACTGTGAGCAATATGCCTTCATGATTGTATTGAAATTGTGTTTATGTTATGAGTGTTATGTTTGTTTTTTTCGGATTTTTTTGCGTTCGTTTGTGTTGTGTTTAGCTTTGTTCTGTTCCCAAGTTGGTACATTTAAAATAGATTTACCGTGGCGGAGCACGGGATGCGCCTAGTATATATATATATATATATATATATATATATATATATATATATATATATATATATATATATATATATATATATATATATATATACGATTAGGATGAACGAAGGTGTATTATGTCCTCAGCATGCAGTTCTGGTTGTGGAGGAGACACAAGCTGTGACCAGACCACAGCAGCTTGTTCATATGGTTGTACGCCACCGTACACAGGCCTAACCTGTAACAATGGTAAGAACTTTCTTTTGTAACTTAATATGTCTAGTTGTCTTTTGTCCTCTGTCGTCTTAGTTAAAGGTTACTCTAACCTCACGAAGTGGAGAGGAAGTATTTGATTGTCACCAGAAGCAGATCACTCGACTCTTTCCAATCTAAGTGCTTGTGAATGATGAAATACATCCACCAGCCTTACGTGTGGAGGCGCATTCCACGGAGTTAGGAACACATAGTTTTGCATTGGTGTCTTTAGCTCTCTGTTGACAACCGTTTCAGTAAGGTTGACGAAGTTGCTGATGGTATCAAATGTGTGCTTTTCTTTCAACTTTTAACAGGAAATGTAAGAGAAATGTAAGCACCACTGCCTGCTACTTAAACATTAATTATGTGCTAAATTACGTCTGTAAAAATAAGTAATTTTTAAAGACACGTTTCTGTAGAACTGATTCATAATGATCAACTACGACATTTTCTAAAGTAAGATAGGGAAAATATCAGAGGTAAATAGTGAAAAGTGACTTTAAAATAGAAATAGACAAACTATGTAACCAGTTCATGTTATAAACTAGGCATGCTGCCCAGCTTCGCTTAGGCTTTCGAAAACATTGAGAGTTTTAATGCTTAATTAATTCGCCCGAGGGTCGGTCTACGACCTCAGGAGTTATGAAGAGTTTCCTACGTGGACATTTTTGTTCGATTTATAGCTCATATAAGGCGCCGGTCAGTCGAAGTCAGTTTTGACCCCCTCATCGTAGACTTTTCGGCCAACCGGCCCCCGTGTTCTGTCACCCCAAGGCAAGATCCTGCCAAATTTGAAGCGCCTGCGCCGCCGGGAAGTGCCCTATCGGGCACCCGACAACTTTGCTTTATATATTATAGAGAATAGCAAATTGCATAGATTTCAATAAAGTAATTAAGGCCTGAAATACTTTAGTATAGAAATGTATTATTTGAATAGATTCTAGATCTAAGTAGGGTCTACATCTGTGTAAGTCTAGTTTTTCCGTAGATCTAGATAATCTAGATCTAGATCTAGAATCTCTAGATCTAGAATCCTAATAGAATTTGTTTTAAGTTTAGCCCGAGCAAAATTGTATTGTATAAATTTTATAGCGTACGTAGATCTAAATCAAATTTGAATGAAATAGTTCATTTCTTTTTATTCTAAACACGGCAGATGACGTCATTAGTTAATGCATAAACATTAGTGACGTCACTGATTTATGCATTCTTTTTCACAACTATAAACGCTTTTCCTGTTGCATAATTAAAACTGTTTCTCTACATTCGAATACGCCTTTACTTTTTATTTCTCTTCTTTAAATAAAATTGTGGTTATACATTTAAAACATCTAACATATTATTTTCAACAAAAGTCCGTATAAAGGTATCCATATATCGCTGCCGGTTCTGACGTGATATCCGGCGAAAATATTTTGCGGACAGACAGAGAGAGAGAGAGAGAGAGAGAGAGAGAGAGAGAGAGAGAGAGAGAGAAGTGCGCACAGGGTCTATTATATATTAGGATGTTATATATGTTCAAGATCTCAAACGGCGGCATTTTTGACCTTTCATGAATTTACCTCTAGATATAGCCTACTCCCATATTTATAATATCTCTACCACTTTGGCAAATCTAGAATTATTGACTGACAGCTAAACCCCTTTCTAATTTGCTTCACTGTTCGATATTTCTTAAGAATCTAGAAGATTGAATTAGACTAACTCAATCGAAATCGGAACCTTATAGTTAATTTTCATAAACGTTTATATTTTATTTTTTTCATCAATGTAATGGTATTTGCCTAGAATAATAATATAGACCTACTTATTCTATAATATAAGCCGCCTGGTAGTGTGTCATTCCTTCCTTCCGTCATCGGTTTAGCAACTTTGTTTTCGCACACATTTTATTTTGCTTTTCGATATTGTGTTACTAGCCGTCCCGGCCAGGCCCTGCTCTGGCTTATGTGAAAAACCTTTCTGTTAAAGACCATCACCTGTGTGTTTAGTAATCATCGTAAACCCGGCATTGCCCACCCAAACCACAACCAACCAAAACCAAAACAACAAAACGCAAACATAACGCTAACACAATTACAAATACAAACGAAAACAAAAACCTAACAACAAACCCAACCACAACCACAAACACCAATACAAACACAAAGAAAAAACAAACAAAAAAGCAAACAAAAACAAAAACCTAACAACAAACCCAACCACAAACACCAATACAAACACAAAGAAAAAACAAACAAAAAAGCAAACGAAAACAAAAACCTAACAACAAACCCAACCACAACCACAAACACCAATACCAACCAATAACAACACAAAAAAAAACGAAAAAGCAAACGAAAACAAACCAAATCCAAACGCAAAACCAACCAAAAACACAAATACAAACCCAAAGAAAAAAACAAAAACAAAAACGAAAAAACAAAGAACAAAAACGAACCAAATCAAACCGCAACCACTAACGCAAACCCAACGGAATCGCCTGTTTTAGCTTAATAAACGACTATAGTACCCCAACTTATTCATAGTCTTTTGCACTCACTTAAACAAACGCGCCTGTTTCAATTTAATGAACAATTTTAATACTCCAAACTTATCCGTAAAATACCTGCAACATTTGCACTTGATCAATCCCCGCTAATTATGTAATTATTTTTTTCCCAACACCAAAACAAAGTAATAAAAAGTAAATTCTTTTCCACTAATGCAATGGTTTTATAAAGGGAAGTAATTGTGTTTTCCTAATTTATCAAAGGGAAGTAAGTGCTATAGGACTAAATAAAGACATAATTAGAATTTTTGTAAAAGATGATATTTTTTTAAAACTTGTGTTTAAAGAACATGCCGACAATTATTACTATGAGTTTGAAAAATAAAAATTATTTCCCAACACTTTCAATAGTAATTTTTTAACTCATAAATTTAGACAAATGCGCACGATATTAGTCTAACACTTTAATCCATGGAAGTATGTCAACGACAAACAAATGTATTTTTACATACAGAATTGAGCTTTATATATTAGATTTTATTTTATCTGGCGTTTTAGTATTTGTACATTCACTTCTAATATTAAACACATAAATTATACGGTTCTGTAACTGCCTTTATTATGAGCTAACCATACAACCTCCAACTCAACCTAATTCTAAATATGAACATTTGAACCAGTACCGAATATTTATCTTGAAACAAAATTAAACCGAAAACGGTAAATTAAGTAAAAAAGAACAGATACTTTATCCGGGATCTGAAATTAAATCAGAATTTAGCAAGAAATTGTTTTTTTTTTGTTTTTTTTTTACCGAAAATGGCAATAATTTTAAACTGAAGTGCTGATTTAACTTTAACAAGTACTTGAAATTTAATAGTAAACAGTTAACAATTTTAAACTGAAGTGCTGATTTAACTTTAACAAGTACTTGAAATTTAATAGTAAACAGTTAACAATTTTAAACTGAAGTGCTGATTTAACTTTAACAAGTACTTGAAATTTAATAGTAAACAGTTAACAATTTTAAACTGAAGTGCTGATTTAACTTTAACAAGTACTTGAAATTTAATAGTAAACAGTTAACAATTTTAAACTGAAGTGCTGATTTAACTTTAACAAGTACTTGAAATTTAATAGTAAACAGTTAACAATTTTAAACTGAAGTGCTGATTTAACTTTAACAAATACTTGAAATTTAATAGTAAACAGTTAACCGGATCCTGAACTATAACCGGCACCGGAAAATACCCGAAAACGGAATCGAAAGTTTGAGCCAAACAGAAATTTTGCAGGAATGTGAAACTTAAATTTAACCGGGAATGGCACTTAACCAGAATCTGAGCTTTGACCGGAACTTAACTTTCATCGGAATCGGTTCTTACACATGCAACCTAAAAGTTATGTGAACTTTAACGTTAATCGTAACCGGAACTTTATTAGTAAGAATAATCGGAAACATGAAATTTAATTGGCATTGCTATTTTCTCCGGAACATGGTCCTTAACCCAAACCGGAACTTCAACCTTAAACGGCATTTTAACAGCATTTGGAAATTTAACAAAAAACGATAATTTAGCCTGAACGGGAAATAAAAATCGAAACGAAATCCAAACGGGGCGGCAAAGTTAGCATTGACGAAATTTAACTGGTAACAAAACTACTAGAAACCGGAAATTTAACCGAATCTGGAGATTCAACCAGAAGCAAAAATTTAATTCAAACGGTCCTGGAAATTGAACTAGAAACGTGATTAGAGTAAAAACGTACTTTATCTGGAAAATCGCCATTACCGGATTTAGAAATGTAACCGGAAACAGAAAGGTAAAAGAAACGTATATTTAACAGAAAACGCTACCTAACTGAAAATTGAACTTCTTAAGGAGACGGCATTTAACTGGGAATTTGAAGCTAAATTAAAAATGAAACCTAAAAGTTTAAACTGAATGCAAAGTAAACTGGAAAGAAAACTATATCAAGAAATAGAAATATAATCAAAATTTGAACCTTGACAGACACGAACTTTAACTAAAAAAAAGGAACTTCATTCTGATCCGGCATTTTTATTTGTTCCGAAAATTAGATTTTACTGAAAGCGAAATTTAAATGGAAACTTAAATTTACTCGGAAACAAAAATTTAACCAAAGCGGTAACATAAAATGGAATCGGAATTTAAACGGAATTTATGCGGAAAACGATCGTAATGTAACAAAAACCATAACCCTAATGCATAATATTATTTCTATATACTTTACTTTTTCCGTGTTTTTTTAAAAATATACATCTACTTTAATATTAGACAAATAAACTTTGAGTTTACTTAAGTGTCTCCATTATCAATAATGTCAGGAATTGTATATCATTTTCAGCATTCGATTTGTAACACATTTTTTAATAATACTTTTGATGACGTCATTGTTTTTTTTTTTTTACTTTTACAGAGGAAGCCGACGCATATGAACTTAAAACCACAGGTAATTCATGTCTTATTCTTTAGTAAAATCATGTAATTATTTATTCGTCATTTCTTATTCTTTAGTAAAGTCATGTTAGTAATTTGTTGTACGGAATATTCCACATATATAAATACTTTATTTTTGATCGGTTTACATTCTTTTATTGCTGATCAGACTTAAATGAATGTTTTCCTTAAGTTATTCCTATTCAAAAGCTTTAGAAGAAAACTTTTTACAAATTATGAACTTGTGTATATTTCTTGTTTTCTTTCCAGTCGGTATGGTGAAAGAAGATTGTAAGTAGTATGACGATACAATTCGTAATATATAAACCTAGGGCAAAATGCATCGTTTTATTCCTGACAGTAAAATTAAATCTTGGAAGAGGGGGGGGGGGAGGGGAAGGAGGAGAGTGGGGGGGGGGATGCGACCTAAAAACCGACAATATAAATTGTCAAAATTTTAATTTAAAAGTTTAATTTCGTCATCTTTTTCATAATTGTCACCCTTGTTGATTTGTTTTTTCTCTGCAATACTATCAGTGTTTCTTTCAGACAATGTTCTCCGAAAGGGGGGGGGGGCACTTGAAACTTTCGGGAGGAGTAGGGGCACACTGGTTAAAGAATATATTTTCTATCTAAAGTATAGTGGGGGGAGGGGGGTGAGGGCGGTAGACTTTCCTTGAAGTGAACTGCTACCCCCCCCCCCCCCTTTCCTCTTTTTGAATAGTCGCGTGAAAGTGACACTTCCGTATACGCTCCTGATAGTCTTAGAGGCGATTGGCCCTAAACACCTATCTCTGATGGGACACGGGACATTCTTGAGCCACACAAGTGTGGAGTTTACGGAAGCGAAGTTTTCTTCCTGCTTCAGTGGCATGACTGACTACATAATTATTGTTTTAATAACACAAATATCGACAGCATCATCATTCGTTTAATTGCATAATTCTTAAATTCACCATAAGATAATTTATTTTAGTACCAATGTTCTCCAATTAACTACAGGATAATTTTTTTTCCTATTAGCTAAATTGTCTCATTTTTTTTTCGAGATTATTGTTTGAATAACATATTTGCTTTTAAATGCGTGCTTGTTGTACTGATTTCGTCATTTCATTTCTAGTGAGCACAACGGGTACCACTGGGAGTCAGACACCAATCAGCGGTAATTTGATTACAAATAATTTATTTAATCAATGTCTGTCTTTTTTTAACACTTTATGGCACTTGATGTGTGTGTTTTCTTCATAATATTTTTTGATATCCAGCTGTTTGATGTGTGTGTTTTCTTCATAATATTTTTTGATATCCAGCTGTTTGATGTGTGTGTTTTCTTCATAATATTTTTTTATATCCAGCTGTTTGATGTGTGTGTTTTCTTCATAATATTTTTTGATATCCAGCTGTTTGATGTGTGTGTTTTCTTCATAATATTTTTGGATATCCAGCTGTTTGATGTGTAGATCAGATAACCACTTGATGTCCATTCTGATGTTGCCTGTGTTTTATTGTTTCGTTGGAGTTTAGAATTCGGATGCATTCTTTTATTATCTATATAATTCAATCTATATTTTTATTATCTATATAATTCAATCTATATTTTTATTATCTGTATAATTCAATCTATATTTTTATTATCTATATAATTCAATCTATATTTTTATTATCTGTATAATCCAATCTATATTTTTATTATCTATATAATTCAATCTATATTTTTATTATCTGTATAATTCAATCTATATTTTTATTATCTGTATAATTCAATCTATATTTTTATTGTCTATATAATTCAATCTATATTTTTATTATCTGTATAATTCAATCTATATTTTTGCGGCTTAAGTTAAAAGCATCTAAAATTTCCTTGCATTTTGTTTTTCTCGAGCTTGCTGCTTTTTGTCAGTTGAAACATTGTTTGTTTCAGAGCAACTATCGAGTGAAGATGTGTTCAGTTTTTCTCGTCCGGAATTTCTAATAACCACACGTAAGTTATCTCATACCGCGAAATTTTTTTCTCAAACATGAACGTCTTACATTTGTTGTCTCAAACATGAACGTCTTACATTTGTTGTCTCAAACATGAACGTCTTACATTTGTTGTCTCAATGATGAACGTCTTACATTTGTAATCCCAAACATGAAAGTCCTACATAGGTTGTCTCAAACAAGAGCGTCTTACATTTGTTGTCTCAAACAAGAGCGTCTTACATTTGTTGTCTCAAATATGAGCGTCTTACATTTGTTCTCTCAAACATGAGCGTCTTACATTTGTTCTCTCAAACATGAACGTCTTACATTTGTTCTCTCAAACATGAACGTCCTACATTTGTTGTCTCAATGATGAACGTCTTACATTTGTAATCCCAAACATGAAAGTCCTACATATGTTGTCTCAAACATGAGCGTCTTACATTTGTTGTCTCAAGCATGCACGTCCTACATGTGTTGTCTCAATGATGAACGTCTTACATTTGTAATCTCAAACATGAACGTCCTACGTGTGTTTTCTGAACCATGCACTTAAAGTTTTACACTAGTCGTTGAAAAAAGTTAAAAATGTTTTGACTATGTGCGCACACGTTTTTATTTTATATGTTTAACTTTGAGGGAAACATCAAATCATGAAAACATAAAAACCTCAAAACATGAAAACATGAAAACATAAAAACCTCAAAACATCAAAACATGTAAACCTCAAAACATGAAATCATCAAAACATGAAAACATGAAAACATCAAAACATGAAAACCTCAAAACATCAAAACCTCAAAACATCAAAACTTAAAGCTTTGTGTTCTGCTTGCTGACAATAGGCTTAGTTTTGGACAATTTTAAATTATCACTTTAGCTTTCTGAAAATCAAATGAACGTTATCCTTGTCAACTAGTAGCGCTATACACTTGAACTTTGAAATCGAATGTTTTCACAAATGTGCTGAGAGCAAGGTCTAAAATCTGTTGACGAAGCTTAACGTGTATATAGTTTTACAATTAAACATTGTTTATATTTTTCAGCATTGTATTCGAAATCCGAGCCCGGAGATACAAAATCTAGAGGTAAGGTGGTTACCTCTATCGTCTTGGTGCTACTATTTTGGTGTCTTAAATGTGTTGTGTCTCTAGCAACCACATGTAGTGTGTCTTAAGCCCAGTCTAATTGTGTCAAGCTATAATAGTGTCGATGTCTTAATGATTGACACATGATAATTTATGTGACATACATAATGGTATTTAGGTCAATAGCCTTGTTTGTTGTCTAACTCCAGTATCTAGCACCTTATACTCCAGTAACTGACACCTAATACTCCAGTAACTGACACCTAATACTCCAGTAACTGACACCTAATACTCCAGTAACTGGTACCTTATACTCCAGTAACTGACACCTAATACTCCAGTAACTGGTACCTTATACTCCAGTAACTGACACCTAATACTCCAGTAACTGGTACCTTATACTCCAGTAACTGACACCTAATACTCCAGTAACTGACACCTAATACTCCAGTAACTGGTACCTTATACTCCAGTAACTGACACCTAATACTCCAGTAACTGGTACCTTATACTCCAGTAACTGGTACCTTATACTCCAGTAACTGACACCTAATACTCCAGTAACTGACACCTAATACTCCAGTAACTGACACCTAATACTCCAGTAACTGACACCTAATACTCCAGTAACTGACACCTAATACTCCAGTAACTGACACCTAATACTCCAGTAACTGACACCTAATACTCCAGTAACTGACACCTAATACTCCAGTGACACTTAATATCCAGTAAGACACCTAATACTCCAGCAACTGACTCAACAGTTAATGTTATTTTTAGATTGAACAGCTAATGTTTTAAAATCTTTAGAGGTCCTTGGATTCATAACTATCGGCTCAATCACGGGAATTTCCATCGTTGTCATCTTCATTGTCGTGGTCAACGTGTTTTACAACAAGAAAAACGAAAAGAAACCAGAGGAGCCGGTGGTGGAGATGGCACAGCAGCCAGAGGAAGAGAAAGTTCTGGAAGTCTTGAAGTCATCCACAAGTGTGTGAAAGGCATCGGAGTGCTTGTCGTCATGGCTACTAGAATATTTCTGTGGCTAAGTTTTGAGTGAAACTAGTAGACTTGGGTATTTTTTTTTTTTTTAGAATTCAGTCGAGTCGAACTGAAATCTACACGTTAATTGTTTTCAATTGAAATATTTTACGTAATTTCTACCTTGTGGCCTCAATATGAAGTGACCTCTACACTTTGGCCTCAATATGAAGTAATCTTAAGGCTTTTCTGTTTTGTTTGAATACGAGAACCAATTTTTCAGCACAGATGTCGTAGCTTCTGGCTAATTAAGTCATAAGGTGATGTTTGTACTCACAGCACGTGATGTTTTGTACTGACATCACGTGATGTTTTCTACTGATATTATGGGATGTTATGAACTGACATCATGTTGCTCATCTGTCGTCACTTCGATGTTTGTCATGTTGTCAGTTTAATGAAATTGCACATCATTTAAGCACTATTTAAGTTCAGTTAAAGGTCCCTATATTTTGAAATTTTTGTCCATAAGAATACACCGATTTATTCTACCTCTTTTTTAGCCTTTCCATTAGTTAACATGTTCCACTTCTACGTGACGAGTATGTTTAGATAACATTCACAGTATGTGGGGGGGGGGGGGGGTTAGTTCATTTTATGATAAAACTCATATTGATTTATGTGTGACATAACTGTTCAGATACACGTCGCAATTTGTATGTGTGCGCGCGACAGATTTTTTATGACAGATGCCACATCGCTATATGGTTGTCTGACAAATATGAGAACTCTAACACATTGTATGCCATTGTATGTTATTTTCCCGTGAGTCACGTGGCTGCCACAACTCTAACCACGTGTTTCGTTTAAAGCAAACACTTGCCCATGATTTGTTTGATCACTGGCTCGATGACGACGTTAGGACTCATCAACACCTGGGGTAGGGGAATCTCTCCGCCCTGTCTTGCCGGCCATGTTTCATTAGCTCTGTTCAATTAGCCGTCTTTAATTAGCCGTGTTTCATTAGCTCTGTTCCATTAGCCGTCTTTAATCAGCTGTGTTTCATTAACTCTGTTCAATTAGCCGTCTTTAATTAGTTGTGTTTCATTAGCTCTGTTCAATTAGCCGTCTTTAATCAGCTGTGTTTCGTTAGCTGTGTTTAAACGGCAGTATTAACACTTTAAAGTTTTGTTATTAAAATTTGCAAACCTGAAATAAAAATTTAGAAAAAAATGTGCTTTGTATCATTTTTTGCTAATGATTGTATTCATCTTTAAAAAGAAAAATTCTTCTCATGTCAGAGTTTAGTCAAGATTCTGTTTGTAGTTTGTTTTTGTATAACTATAACACCTACTTTAAACAATTTTTCATTTCAAATATCTAAAATTTCGGTAGTAGTAATATTTAATGTAATAATCTTAATTAGTTGAATGCCGAAAATTCATACACAGAATTTTACAAACAAATACGCGTCATCGTTTGGGGAAAATGTGTGGTAATTTCCTGCATTCAATTTATCAATAAATACATTTGAATTCATTTAATGTTTGACTGTATCCCACACGATTTACTAATGTCAGTAACTGGTTATCCTGAGTTAGTCAAGTTTCATCACAAACGACAATAGATGTCTAATTTTGGGCGTTACGTTGAAAGTCCTAACTTTTGCATAACCAAAAAAGTATGGTTATATTGAGTAATTATTGAATATGAGTACAAAAATTTGGACAAAAATTGTAAAAACGGTACTATTCAACTTTAAAACTTAAGAAAGATGTAGAAGAATGTATTATTTACCCACATTGGGCCCAAATGGCAGCACTGGTGAAGAAGACGATACTATTTTAGATACTTAGTAGATACTTTTAGTAGATACTATTTAAGTTAAGCATTACATTTCTATACAGCTAATGTCACTATATAACATTAGTATGTTTGCAGATACTATTTTAGCATTTCATTTCTATACAGCTAATGTCACTATATAACATTGATTGTTTGCAGATACTATTTTAGCATTACATTTCTATACAGCTAATGTCACTATATAACATTGATATGTTTGCAGATACTATTTTAGCATTACATTTCTATACAGCTAATGTCACTATATAACATTGATATGTTTGCAGATACTATTTTAGCATTACATTTCTATACAGCTAATGTCACTATATAACATTGATATGTTTGCAGATACTATTTTAGCATTACATTTCTATACAGCTAATGTCACTATATAACATTGGTATGTTTGCAGATACTATTTTAGCATTACATTTCTATACAGCTAATGTCACTATATAACATTGGTAGTCACTACAGACCAGGCTGTCGAGTCAAATGTCATAACTATAACTTTCTTTTTACAATATATAGACAGAAAAGCCAGGAAATAGCCAGCGTATATAAGGAAAGCCATGAAGCTATTCTACCAGTGGTGGAACTTGAATCCCCCAAACCCTCAAAAAACATCTCTCTCTCTCTCCCTCTCTCTCTCTCTCTCTCTCTCTCTCTCTCTCTCTCTCTCTCTCTCTCTCTCTCTCTCTTCTCTCTGCTAAGATATATTAAGCAAAATGTTTAAAAGTTAAATGCCAGTACGGTCAGATAAAAAATTGAGTAACATTTTTAATTAACATAAAAAAACAAAATTTTCTTTTTGAACCAGCCGCCTTTTCCCCCACTAATCTGAGTTGGGTACCTATCAGAGCTAGGTGGACTCAGGGACGGTCTACAGACATTCGGATTCGAACTGGAGACTTTCGAGTTAGCAGTGTAGTGCTCGACATCTAGGCCACGTCCTACTTCTGATGAACGTGTTTTTACGTTTAACTTGGGATTCTTTAATGTGTCTTCACACAACCTTGTTCTTTGACTCACCTAAGGTACAATCTTGTTCTTGACTCACCTAAGGTACAATCTTGTTGTTTGTTACGTCCCTTGTATCACGGTTACGACCCTTGAATGTTCTCTGTATCATCCGCGATGTGTAGTAGATGTGTAGGGTAAGGTGGGGTAATTCCACACACGGGGTAATTCCACACACTATATATTGGATACTCTCTATTTTTAATGAGAGTAAAGTTTAATTAAAAGTTACTATTCCCTGTTTCTAAGAGGTCATTTCTTGTACTTTCTGATACTGTTAGAGAAGGATTCACCTACATTCAGAGCAATGATTTTAATTTTATCTGCATCTATCTTCAAACATCCTTAGGTAAGTACAACCCCTGCACTTTTTTTAAAATATTTTTTTTTTTTGTCTTATTTTTAATTGTTGTCAATTATTTATTGATTATATGAAAGCTTAATCATTTTTGTTAATAGTAACAGTTAATGATGCTAGATTCAGCCTTTAATTTAGAACAGGAAAGCATATTTTTTTCAATAGTAGGTGTGGGGCAATTCCACACACATGGTGTGGGGCAATTCCATACACTATAGTTTAGAATGTCCCATGTTGCTTTTTATACTCTTTAGAGGGTTTAGCTTTTATTTTAAACCATTTCAAATGGTTGTGGCTAATTCTGTAATTCACAACTCATGATTTAATCTTAAAAAATACTTGAATAGTACTAGATCTAGTACTATTTATTTTTTAAAAAGACTCTGCTATTAAAGTTAAGTAAAATTGCCACATACTTCTTTTATTTCTTTATCTATTATTATTTTTACTGTACCTATATTATTTGTTATAATGTATGCAATATTTAGAGCTAAACATCCCCATACACACATTAGTAATTAGACTTTCTAACATTTAATTTTGTATTTATTTCAGAATGGTCCACAATTATAAACGAATAACTTCGGCCTATGACAGATGAGAGTAGAATTCAGGAGGAAGAAATTGAGGCTTTCTCCTCACCCAGTGATGAAGACTGGTTGTCCACATGCAAAATTGTTTCCAATGGGAAAAATGTTTTTTTACACATTTTAAAATACATGAATTTTAAAATTTTCATAATGTGTGTGGAATTGCCCCACTTGCCATGTTTTTGCAATAAAAGTGAAATATTTAAAAATTGTATTTTATTTTGTGAATTATCTTTATATTTGTTTGCCATCATATAAGTAATGCATGTCTAGTTTTACCCTCAATATTATATTGTGGTAGTGTTGATTTTAGATTTTTTACAATTTTTTAGAAAAGTAGTGTATGGAATTACCCCGGGTTACCCTACATGTAGTCAGTTAACGAAAGCTAGAGTCAGACACAGGACGTGTTGTCTGAGCTCGTGTATAGAAGAATAAAGTACTAAGGTTAACTCAGAGAACTGTGTCTGTTTAAGGAATTTTACACACGATATACAAAAAAAAAAAAAACAACAATGAAACATGTCAGCCAAAATAAAAGTAAAACAATCAGATAAAATAACAAAACAACAATAAAATTCTGACGGTACCAAGAAAGAGAACCGCCAGACAAGTTAAAAACTCCAGCGGCCGAAAAAAATATCAACAAAATGTATTTGTGTTTGCTTGATGTGTTCAACTATAGGAGCGTCAGTGGCGTAGCGAGGTCGGGTGTCACCCGGTTCGGCACTTAATGGTGTCACCCCCCAGAGGCGTAACGACCTTTCCCGGGGACAAACTTTCAATTTTCGATTTGCACCCCCACCTTCAAACTTACGATTTGCACCCCCCCCCTCAAATTTTCCTCAATATATTTTGCTATTTTTTGCCTTGGTGTCACTCCCCACACCTAAATGGTGGCACCCGGTGCGGTAAGCACCCCCCCCCTCGCTACGCCTCTGCTCTCAGAAATATCTTTCAAAATAATGGTTTGTACTCTATAGAACTGGGCGGAGTTATGCATATGCTACACGTCCGAGACATGAACCAAATTCATGAATAATTGATTAAGTTATGTAGCCAATACAATTATCTATCCACCAACCACATTACCCATCCCCCATTTATATTAGGATATCTTTTTACGGGCAAACCATATAAACAAGACAGCTACCCTCTCGTGTTCTTCTAGGTCTATCCATAATTCCAGCGGAACTAGAAAAAATGGGCCATCCCGCAAAAAAAATGTTTGGGCCCCATATGTATATATATATATATATATATATATATATATATATATATATATATATATATATATATATATATATATATATATATATATATATATATATATAAACTAAATACGAAAATATGAACGTAGAATACTCAAT